TCCCCATAACTGTTCCTTTAAATGGTAAAAGTCTTTAATCTACTCAAAAATAACTGTTAATTCATGGACTTTTCCCCTCAGAGCTTTAGCACAGTGTCCTTCCTCAAGGACGGAGAGGCTGTTGTGCAGAGTAGAGACAGTCAGTGTGAATTTGCATTCAAAGGCTGAATAATGTGGACATAATGTGAGGAGCTCCATTACACTTCCAGTGTTGACTACAAAACACACTGGAGAGATTCTGATGTGTGTTTAAAATTGACTCTGAATTCTTGTCATTAGTCATGATGGTCAGAAAATAGCCTGATTTATTCACTTAGCATAAAAAAGGAAATTTCTGTGATTGAGAGAGACTTTATTATCTTTTTATAGCACCGTGCTGCCAAATTATGAGTCAGTGTGCTGAACTTGCTCTCTCCTCATAGTCTATATTTGTGTTTATTTAACTAGGCCAGGTTATTATTGGAGTTTCTGTTCATGAATCTTGCAGGTTCTCTGGCCACTCAGTAAACTGCCAATGTCCAAAAGTATCCAAAGCTGAAATGTTTTGCCATACAGACATTTTTCTGCTGCATGTCACTGGATTATCGGCTCATTTCTGAGCCAAAATATGACTATCGCAACCTACAATCCAACACTGTGCACTGAACTGACATCATAACACTGTGTCCAGCAAGCAGAACCAAAATGCTTCCATTATAATCAATGAATTGCACGGTACTCTTGACGGACGTCCCGTTTCTATTTTTGCTGCATCACATCGCTCTGCCATTCCACTTCAGAATGGAGGACTGAACATAAACACAGACTGTCTCAACACATTTATTGGAACTCATATCTTCTTTAGAGAAAGAGAACCCACTGCTTGCAGCGTTAGGGTTTTTGTGAGGCCACGGCTACGTAACCACCTTTGAAACGTCCACACAGTCCAGATCAGGCAGAGAAGCTTTTCAAGCGTTTCACCCCACTTGACTTACGCAATTAGGATTCATTTACAATCTGAGTTTAGTTTACAATCAAGTCATATGTCTTCAGAATCACTGAGGTATTTTCAATACTTGCAGTCACAGTTAACCTGCAGTGCATTTCAAAAGGTTGCGTTTTGTCCATCCACATAAAAAAAAAAACATTTTCTAACTCTCTCTAAGTCTTACACCCTGTCCAATCCTCCCTCCCCATCACCCCCAACACAACCCCAGTCTAGAACTCTTATTTTGAATCATGTCTGTCCTACATGCACCACTTTGCACTTGTATTATTTGCACTGGAACTATTACTGATAACCGTGTGTGTGAATATGTGCTGACTGGTTTATATCTGTTGATTCCTGATATTAATTTGACTATTTTTACTATTTTATTTTATTTGTCTTATTGAACATCTATTTCACTCTACTTTGTTATCACTGTTCTCCTATACTACAGGGCTTATGGAGATGCTTCACTGTTTCATTGTTTTACACAATTTGGACTCTTAACGAAAACTGGACGTAGGGACCACATCAGCCCAGTGCTGACCTCTCTTCACTGGCTGATGAACTGACCTACTGACTTACAATTACAATACAGGTGCTCGACTTTCAGTGCACAAAACAACATTTTAATGTGGACGAGAGGCCAAAATGTAGAAGAAATCTATGCTTTCAAAAAACTATCTGGATAGGTGTGGACGGGGCCTCAGACTACAGATGTTAAATATGGGGGTGAAACACAACCTGTTATTCCCAACCCAGTCCCCACGGCCCCACAGACAGTCCACATTTTTGCGCTGACCTAACTCACAGCACACGTGGGTGAATGTAAAACCACAGCTGGGCAGCTCCATCAGAAAAGCAGCACTTGCTACTGTATAAAAACTGAGTTTATACACTGATGCTAAATAAAGTAGCCAGGATACTCACCCACTTTAGTTGTGGTTTGCTTTGACTTGACATGCATTTGACGTTTCCAGTGTAGACATCCTGACAGCTTTCTGACATAACGCGAAACCGTATTTGGATGCTTGCTCGCAGTTACGACACTGTGTGGGATTGATCTCACCAAAATACCCCAGCAGGTTTGTCCAGTGTGGTGGTTTAGGGGCTTTTTATGCAGTCTGAGTAGCATTTTGTTCACCACAGGGTCCAAAAACGGTTCCATGAGTTTTAACATGAGCATGGCGCCGACTACAGAACGACAACATGACTACTGAGGTCTATTAGCGGATTCAGCTACTTTAAGGTGCATCCATTGCTCATACAGGCACTCACAGCTTGTATAATCTACATAGAAAAGTACTGACTAATAGAATTGGACGCTCCGGATCAGCGGCACATGACCCTAAGGTCACCACGCCCAATGCCAAGTGTGGGCCAGAGAGGTATATAGGCCCCAGGGCTGTGGAGCAGTGGAACTGTGTTCTCTGGAGTGATGGAGCTCCATCCAGTACCTTTGGGATGAGTTAGTGATCCAGAACTGACCATCCAACATCAGTACCTGACCTCACTAATGCTCAATCAAATCCTCACAGCAAAGTTCAACATCTAGTGTAAAGCCTTTCCAGAAGAGTAGAGGCTGTGATGTTTGCAACTATTTCAGGATGTTCATGCATATTTTAAGCAGTTTTATCATACAGTAGTGAAACACATCTTACACATAATTTTGCTTCTTTTAAGAAATTAATAAGTAGCCAAAATGTCTAGAAACAGGTTTAATAACCTTCCTACTCTCTTCATTCTCTTCATTCTCTTGGTGAGAAACGGTGGATGTTGCCTGTGTATTCAGTGCTGTGTGTACGCTGTTCTGGATAAGGCCGTGAGCTAAATGAGTGAATGTAAATGTAATATTGAGGTAATAACCGCTCTGTGATTTGCTGCGTCGTCCTAAAATGGAAGCAGACAGGTTTTAATTTGCGCTGAGGGCTGTGATTCACCGGAACTGCGCTATAAATCTGTATCTGTGGAATCCGCTGAGGGTCAAAGGGCCATTAAACGCCTCTCGAATGCCTGTGTTTATTTACGACCAGCAGAGACCGTATACGTCAGAGTGAAGTGCTTCTAGACGCAAGATATACGAACAAGGCGGCAAACGCGGATGTGTGAGTGAATCAGTCAGCACAGCCTGAATAGCTCAGGGAACGACGCAGGTTTGAGCCTGTCTTACAATTTTCTTATCATATATAAAATTTAATACAATATGTTTTCTATTCTCTCTATGTATTTTACCAGATTTTACATATTACTGAACTCTTATGTCTTTTTCCCCCCTGTATATTTTGGACTTTCTTGTTGACTTTCCTTCACTATATTTTGCTTTTTACTAAATTTTATCATTTTTTTGTCTGTTTTTTCATTTTATTAAATATCATTGTCTTTTTTCTCCTCTGTATTTCACATTTTACTAAACTTAGTTTTTCCCTTATATATTTTACTTTTTATTATTATTATTATTATTATTATTATATGCTTTAAAGTGTTCTATATATTTTCAATATATGCATTTTATATTTTGTTAAATCTGATTGTCTTTTTCCAATTGTGTTTTGTTTTTTTATTATTAAATTTTATTGCCTTTTTCCTCATATATTTTGCGTTTTATTCTTTACTTGTTAATTATTTTTTGCTTTTATGCTTTAAAAATTTTCCCATATGTAATTTCAATGCATGTATTTATACTTTGTTAAATCTGATTGTTGTTTTCTCTTTTTTGTATATTATGAAAGTTTTTTCCACTCTTTATTTTCATTTTACTCATTTTTGTCTGTTTCTTCTCTCAAATATGTTTTGTACTCAATTTCTTGTCTTTTATTTCTTTTTTCTTTTCACTTTCCTTTATTTTTATTCTGTCTGTTAAACACTAACTTGTTCATAGAAAAGATAATAGAAAGATCAGTCAACACCATTATTTTTACTGGACTGCGCACTTCATGATTCTTTGATGATTATTTTTGCCACTTATGTTTCTCTAAGTGACGATTTTAAACACACTCTGTTCTGGCACACACACACACACACACACATCAGCCCTCATGTACAGGCAACATATAATCATATACATGTCTAAATAACACAGTGCTGAAAATCACAGCACAGTCAAAGGGAGCAAACACTGCAAATACAAAGCCATCATTCGAAAATGAACCACATGTTTCTCCACAGCGTCACATAAATGAACCATTAGGGAATCAGAAGACTGTCACGTTAAGAAACGGAGTGCACTGCAATGAGTTCATACATTTCATCTGGTTAACACACCCTGTCCACAGTTACAGACTGTAGCTCATATGTTGACCTACATATTGTACATCCATCCACTATTCCTTCATCAATGGTCAGTTTCTGACCACAGAGCTGCTCTGGCCTGGATATTATTTGGGTGGTGGTCAACTTAGCAGTGACACTGACCTGTTTAAAAACTCCAACACACGCACCAGCACCACACACACTACCATGTCACTGTCACAGCTGTGCTGAGAACAAACCACCATCCAAATAATATCTGGACAACAGCAATCAGTGACAAGGTAGGTGTTTCTAATAAAGTGGCCACTCAGTAGAAGTACAAGGTAGGTGTTTATAATAAAGTGGCCACTCTGGAGGTACAAAGTAAGTATTTCTAATAAAGCGGCCAGTGAGTGAAAGTACAAGGTAGGTGTTTCTAATAAAGTGGCCAGTTAGAGGAAGTATGAGATGGAAGTTTCTAATAAAGTGGCCAGTAAGAGGAAGTATGAGGTGGAAGTTTCTAATAAAGTGGCCAGTTAGAGGAAGTATGAGGTGGAAGTTTCTAATAAAGTGGCCAGTTAGAGGAAGTATGAGGTGGAAGTTTCTAATAAAGTGGCCAGTGAGTGGAAGTACAAGGTAGTTGTTTCTAATAAAGTGTCCAGTGAGCAGAGGTACAAGGTGGGCATTTCTAATAAAGTGGCTGGTGAGTGGATGCGCAAGATAGGTGTTTCTAATAAAGTGGCCAGAGAGTGTAATTGCATTATGATTTTCGAATGTGGTTTATTTCTGTGTTTTATTTTTTTACCTCTTGTCTCCAGGCCTCGTCCGCAGGACTCTCCGGCTCCAGCCATCCCCTGCCGGACAGAATCTGGCACCAGTGTGCACGAATGCCATTTATGTGTGGTCCACCTGAGAGGAAACAGGCAGATTCACAGCGGCACAAAACATCTGAACTGTTGCCAACAGCTAAACCGCTAATACCTTGTTTTACACTGCAGGTGTTTAACATGCAAATAGAAGGAGCCCAAAATGTTTTCGCGACATGCAAATGTGTAAATATTCACACAAAGTCAGATATGCACAGGACAGAGGCAGCCTAGTGCGTCTAATTACACCACCAACTGCTTAAAATTTAATTAGCGCTCTGGGAGGATATTATTGGCTGGATGATAATGAATGCGAAACTGTATTCTCTGTCTTTGTGTTTGAGAACGTTAAGCGCAGTGTGACGAGCTGCGGCTGCAGAGTAAACTCTATAAAGCAGGAAGAGTGAGTGCTGAGTTAAGAAGGTGAAGGGGGTTTGAAAGTGACCTGTAGGTGGGACACACAGGCAGGGCTTCACACTCTCTCTCCTCAAACAGCGTGTCTGGACACTCCTGACCGCCACCGGACGCATGCTGGACGATGGTCCTGTAGCGCGACTGAGTGGGTATGGAGGCGTTAACTAACAGAGAAAAACACAAACACAGAAAAAAACATTAAAGATAGACAGACAGACAGACAGACAGGCTTTTAGATAGACAGACAGATAGACAGATAGATAGACAGATAGATAGAAAGATAGATAGATAGACAGACAGACTTTTAGATAGACAGATAGATAGATAGACAGAGAGCCAGACAGATAGATAGATAGATAGATAGATAGATAGATAGATAGATAGATAGACAGATGGATAGATATACAGACAGACAGTTAGAAAGATAGACAGATAGATCAATAGATAGATAGATAGATCAATAGATCAACAAACAGACAGATAGATAGATAGATAGACAAACTGATGGACAGACAAACTGACAGACAGATAGACAGATAGATAGATAGATAGACAGACAGACAGACCAAGAGAGAGCCAGAGAGCCAGATAGACAGACAGACAGACAGAGAGCCAGATAGACAGACAGTTAGAAAGATAGATAGATAGACAGACAGACATCATTTGTAATAACTGTGTAGTATCACATTAACAATACACATATATACCCATGGATGGATAGATACATACATAGATGTGTAATTACACATTTACAATACCCACACCAGTGTGATGTATTCACTGTTACAGATGGATTGTTGTAGTTCAGTGTATGTAATTCTGAATGTGTGTCAACTTCAGTTTGTACTGTTACTACACAAGTGTATCTTGATAGCTGCAGTGTTATGCATGTGTTGTGACATGGTAACCAAAGTTATACCTTCAGCACTGTGTGAATCTGAACTGATACACATAATCATGTATTATTAACCTGTAACTACACAGTTATTAGCAACAGTAAAACGCAGGGCCATGTTCTTTCACTAGATTATCTCAGGAAGTTTTGTGTAACACACTGAAAATGCCTGTTACAGAGTCTGAAGCGGTTCACTGCCGTCCCTCCTCACTCTGCAGACTGAAGCTCTCACATTTTCACTGGTTCACTTTAACACTCGTAATGCGGGCTGTGTAACTCAGAACTCAGAGGAGAGAAGGGAGACGTGTCAGAAGGTTGTTGGTGTTGCTCCAAGAGGACATATAAAACCTACACAATGTACATGCTTACAAGAAGCTTGATCACCAGTATGGGTTTAATAACATGCACCTGAATGACAGGACATATTTACATTTACTGAAGACTTCAGACTAAATTCTCATTAATCAGACACTTAAAAGAAATGTAGAAGAATCTGATACACATTGTTCCAGATGAGATAATGAGCAGGACAACACTATGAGTAACTAAAGCAGTGCTAAGATAATTGCAGACTATAATTAACCAGCGCGGCACCTGCGCTACACAGCTGAGGAGCGTTCGGTCTGAAGGAAGGTCAATACCTCCCTGGCTGTAGGTTGACTCACTGCATGAATAAATGATGGGCTCTGACTCTGCCTGTCTAAACATGCCGGTGTGACTCCTGCGCTGGAGCTGTTCGCTGCTCTTTGGGTTTGGACCCTGAATTGACATAATGGCTTCATTTGGCAGCTGCTGTAAGGCTCATTACACAATCCTAATTACTAAGGAATGAAAATAGTGCAATTAAGAACATGATCGCGTCAGCTGAGGAGTAAAGGACGGTCTGCTATTTACAGACCCAACATCGGCCATTTCAAAAACAATCAGCTCCGTCTGATTCCCAGAAGCTTCGCTATTTTGTTCTTGGCCATTAAAAATCTATTTGTTCCTTGACTTTTTTGCATCAGTGTCATGAAATCATTTTATCTGCTAATACATGCATCACTGACAGGGGCCTGCGGGAAAGTACGGCAACTATTTTAAGGGAATAGTTCAGTGAAACTATAGGACACAGGTTCCCCACTTCCAGGCTGCGGACCAGAACTGGGCCATGGCTAATTTGACACTGGGCCACTGGGCTGAATCAGTGATATCCTCACTGTGTAAATATTATTGTAGATGTCATTAACATCATTGTAATAATGTAATAAACTAATTTATAGGTTATATATTTTTTTCTTGTATTTTATTGTTTGTGTGGCATTATAGGGCCAAAAACAGTCATCAGTTATGTTTATATGGCCATTTTCCAATGACTGTTTTCCCTAAGAATTAAACTGGCTATTTTTGTTACTGTGCCTTTAAGACGGATGTGTACATGAGCTCTGTTCTGATTGGCTGCCCTGTATTGAACCTCATTCAAAAGGCTGTCGGGGATGAAACACTCCTTATAACTTCTGTGTGTATGGGCGGGGCTAAACTACTATTGACTGAATAGGCAAGTATGTAAATTAGTTACTTTCTGCGACATCACAAAAAACAATGAATTCAAAGTGGCTCTTTTTGCAGCTTAGTTTCCATATATGGACTGTATGGAGTGAACGGTGTGTTTACACTACATCAAACTCATTTCAGAAAAGTGATGGATGTTTTTGAAAATATGGGCCTATTAATAAAATTTTAAATCTATATCAGCCTACGTCACATCCCTACATGGCCGCATAGTTTGTTATTGTCTGCCTTCAGCTGATGACTGACGTATATGATAAAACCAAAAATGTGAAACATTTTTATTTTTTTATTGGGGCGACAAACATGAAAAAAACATCAAAGACAAGAACGAAAATGAAACTAAGAACAAAGAGTACTGGAAACTATGATGGCAACTAGATAAAATATGGTCACTAAGCCTATTAATGCACAATGGTTTGTAGCAAGAAGCTAGAAAATGAGGCTATGAGGTTATCAGTCTATTTCCTCCTATTTGGAGATAAAACATTCAACGGCCAAATATAGGCTAATCATGTGCCGATCTGCCCCCTTGCTCACCCAGCAGTGTGTCAAAACCACTGTGGGCTGCAGTTCAGCCTGCATTGTTAAAAAGTTTGTGAACACCTGCTGGATGACCTGCTGTTATCTATAAAAACAGGAAAACATTCAGGCAGAACTTGGGCTTTTATAAAGGTTATAAAAAGCGTGTTTATTGATAATATTTCACAGAGCTTTGGAAGCCACTCTTTACTGTAGGTCACCATAAAGCCACATGATACCTACAGTGGTGTGAAAAAGTGTTTGCCCCCTTTCTGATTTCTTATTCTTTTGCATGTTTGTCACACTTAAATGTTTCAGATCACCAAACAAATTTAAATATTAGACAAAGATAACACAAGTAAACACAAAATGCAGTTTATAAATGAAGATCTTTATTATTAAGGGAAAAAGAAATCCAAACCTACAGGGACCTGTGTGAAAAAGTGATTGCCCCCTAAACCTAATAACTGGTTGGGCCACCCTTAGCAGCAACAACTGCAATCAAGCGTTTGCGATAACTGGCAATGAGTCTTGGGCCACTCATCTTTGCAGGATTGTTGTAATTCAGCTACATTGGAGGGTTTCCGAGCATGAACTGCCTTTTTAAGGTCGTGCCACAGCATCTCAATAGGATTCAGGTCAGGACTTTGACTAGGCCACTCCAAAGTCTTAATTTTGTTTTTCTAAAGCCATTAAGAGGTGGACTTGCTGGTGTGTTTTGGATTGTTGTCCTGCTGCAGAACCCAAGTGCGCTTCAGCTTGAGGTCACAAACAGATGGCTGGACATTCTCCTTCAGGATTTTTTGGTAGACAGCAGAATTCATGGTTACATTTACCACAGCAAGTCTTCCAGGTCCTGAAGCAGCAAAACAGCCCCAGACCATCACACTACCACCACCATACTTTACTGTTGGTATGATGTTCCTTTTCTGAAATGCTGTGTTACTTCTACGCCAGATGTAACGGGACATACACCTTCCAAAAACTTCAACTTTTGTCTCATCAGTCCACAGAGTATTCTCCCAAAAGTCTTGGGGATCATCAAGATGTTTTCTGGTAAACCTGAGACGAGCCTTTATGTTCTTTTTGCCCAGCAGTGGTTTTCGTCTTGGAACTCTGCCATGCAGGCCATTTTTGCCCAGTCTCTTTCTTATGGTGGAGTCATGAACACTGACCTTAACTGAGGCAAGTGAGGCCTGCAGTTCTTTGGATGTTGTTGTGGGGTCTTTTGTGACCTCCTGGATGAGTCGTCGCTGCGCTCTTGGGGTAATTTTGGTCGGCCGGCCACTCCTGGGAAGGTTCACCACTGTTCCACGTTTTCACCATTTGTGAATAATGGCTCTCGCTGTGGTTCTCTGGAGTCCCAAAGCTTTAGAAATGGCTTTATAACCTTTTCCAGACTGATAGATCTCAATTACCTTGTTTTTCATTTGTTCCTGAATTTCTTTGGATCACAGCATGATGTCTAGCTCTTGAGGATCTTTTGGTCTACTTCACTTTGTCAGGCAGGTCCTATTTAAGTGATTTCTTGATTGAGAACAGGTGTGGCAGTAATCAGGCCTGGGTGTGGCTAGGGAAATTGAACTCAGCTTTCCAAAGATGTGATAAACCACGGGGGGCAATCACTTTTTCACACAGGGCCCTGTAGGTTTGGATTTCTTTTTCCCTTAATAATAAAGACCTTCATTTATAAACTGCGTTTTCTGTTTACTTGTGTTATCTTTGTCTAATATTTAAATTTGTTTGGTGATCTGAAACATTTAAGTGTGACAAACATGCAAAAGAATAAGAAATCAGAAAGGGGCAAACACTTTTTCACACCACTGCATATAAAGTCAGTAAATGCAGTAATGCGGTCGCTGTACCGGACTGTAGTGGTGAAGAGGGAGCTGAGCCATAAGGCGAAGCTCTCTGTTTACCGATCGGTCTACATCCCGACCCTCACCTGTGGTCATGAGCTGTGGGTAATGACCGAAAGAATGAGATCATGAATGCAAGCGGCGGAAATGACCTTTCTTCGCAGGGTGGCGGGCTACACTCTACTTGATAGGGTGAGGAGCTCGGCCATCCGGGAGGAGCTCGGAGTAGAGCCGCTTCCCGGTGGGGGTGTACCAGGCACGGCCTACCGGAACAAGACCCCGGGGTCGTCCTAGGACCCGCTGGAGGGATTATATCTCCAAGTTGGCCTGGGAGCGGCTTGGGGTCCCCGGGAATGAGCTGGAGGAAGTTGCGGGGGACAGGGTCATCTGGGATTCTCTGCTCTCCCAACTGCTACTGCGACCCTATCTGGACTAAGTGGTTAACGATGATGATGATGATGATGTATATAAAGTCATCAAGAAAACTCACAAACTTGCAGAAACTTTAATAAAGTGTTTAGAATTGTTTTGTTTTATTTTCTAGTTTTCTGTTCTTGTCCCTTTGTTTTAGGTTGTTATTCATTGTTGAGCATTTCAAAAAGCTCCTAATGCTCAGTTCTTGTGCTGACATTACTTCCAAAGGCAGTTTTGAACTGTAGTGAGTGATGCAACAGAGGATTTTTAAGCGCTACACTCTTCAGCACTCACCGGCCCCACAGTTTTAACGGTGTACTGCTTCGTGGCTGAGCTGTTGCTGCTCCTAAACACTTCCATCTCACAATAATAGCGCTTACAGTTGACAGGGGCAGATCTAGCAGGACAGAAATTTCACTAACTGACTCGTGGCAGAGGTGGCATCCTATGACAGTGCCATGTTTAAAGTCACTGAGCTCTTCAGGGCGACCCTCTACTGCCAGTGATTGTCTATGGAGACTGCAAGGCTATGTGCTTGATTATGTGTCCACGTACTCAGATGTTAGGTCAACATCAAAGTTGGCAAATGCTATTTATATGATAAAATATGTGTATTAAAGTAATTGTTATGTCAGGTCTATGTCAGTAGGCATATGTCTATGTCATTTAGGCTTATGAACGCTGCACTACAGTAAAGTGTTCCTTGCTAGAGATGACTTTTCACATGGTTTTAAGCAGATGAGTGATGACCCAGGCATGCAGTTAGCACCATGCTAACTGGTGGGGCCTAAGCTTCCTTTAATTGTTAGCTATATTAGCCTCATAACGCCAGTGAACCCTCAGACTCTAAACATGTCTTGGCATGACAGAATTCACTTGTGGGAAACAGGAGAAACATTTCAAAAGAGATTTTCTGCTGAACTGTTTTTTAAGCCGTGCAGGTTGTTGAGCAGAAGCTCCGTATCCAGAAAAACTGCAGGGGTATGTGATGACACACCACAGCGTCTTAGTGTGTGAGCCTCACACGGAACACTCTAATCTCTAACGCCGCATCGCATTCATTACTCACGCAAAGCCGGTCTCCATGGAGGCATCACATTTCCATTTTTTTAATAACAAACTCTATAACTTTAATCTCTTCAGTCTTCAGAGAATAAAACGGAGATCACTCCATTAGGGAAGAGCTCGCAGGTGGAAATGATGTTTGGCAGTCAGCATGGCGGGCGAGCGAGGGGGATATTGTTTATTTATTTCTTATTTTTGCAGTGATATTTACTGTATTTTTCTTTGTCAGGTATTTCCTTTTATTCCATTTGTATTTTGCCATATTTTGTCATTTTCAGTCATTTTTACTTTGTACTTTGTTTGTAATCTTCCTGTTTCAGTCTTCTTGTAAGTCAGGCTGTATAATATTTAAATGTAGTTTATTGTTAAACTAAAATGAGTGTCATTACTGAGTCAGGAGAAAAAACACAGCATGGTAAGTGTGCGCTGCTGTGAGTCTCGGTGTCAAGTCTGAAAATCATTTTAAAGTCAGAGGTACGAGGACTGGTTTAGTGGAGTTTCTCAAACAACTTCATACATCTCAACCAGAGAGGGCAAATCCCCAAATCTTACATAGTGCTGCATTAAGTTTCTGTAGAGTAGCTCATAGTAGTTACTGAATAATTTAGAGCAGATACTGAATAATAACTTAGCTACTGAATAATTCACAGTAGGTACTGAATAATTGATTATAATTACAGAAAAAAAAAATCATACTAGATACTGAATAATTCATAGTAGATACTGAATAATTCTTTATGGACACTGAAATATTCATAGTAGGTACTGAATAATTCATAGTGGATACTGGATAATAATTTATTACAGTTACTCAAAAGTCATTGTAGATACTGAAAAAGTAATTATGGATACTGAAAAACTAATTATGAATACTGAGAAATTCATAGTAGATACTGAATAATTCATAGGAGATACTGAATAATTCATAGTAGATACTGAATAATTCTTTATGGACACTGAAATATTCATAGTAGGTACTGAATAATTCATAGTGGATACTGGATAATAATTTATTACAGTTACTCAAAATTCATTGTAGATACTGAAAAAGTAATTATGAATACTGAGAAATTCATAGGAGATACTGAATAATTCATAGTAGATACTGATGCCTGAAGCAATGCCAACAACTTATTTTACACGCCTCCCTTCTTCACCCTCTTTCGTGGTCCTGAGTGATCAGCCGCCGGTCATCATGCCATAATCAAGAATGGACCAAAGTTGGAAGGACACTGTACAGACAGCTGTAACATTAGTTAAGGTTAGCTAGGTTACCAATAGCATGGACAAATGCTATTTAACTGTCTAGGTAGTTAGCTAAGCTGCAGTAGCTTCTTAATTAATGAATGTCTAATTAGTATTCACAAGTCAGCTATATCGTTACCTAATGAAAACACGGTAGTGATTTTTTCAGATAATTACCTTATAATTAACTCAATTACACATTTTTCTGTGATATAACTGGTGTTGCCTTAGCAACTGTACAATAAGCACAGACTTTAATGAGTTAAAAAAGAATCCTATAATAAAATGCAATAGTCATTATTAATTCAAATGATTATGAAGGTAAAACAGCACAGCGTTATGTATGAGTGCAGTAGGATGATACCTGGCAGACAGGTGGAAGGACAGGCTGTCCACTCACTGAACGGTGTCACCACACAGTCTCTCTTACAGGGCAATAGACATGGGCGTGCTGAGTCTGGCCGGGCGGAGTCTGGACACCTACAGTGCAGAAAAAACAAAGGAAAAAAGAGATTAATAATCCAGCAGTCTTATATTTACCCGTAAGTTTCCTCCACTCTCTGCAGCTGTGCGAGGATCGGTCCTCTCATCACTATTCAGTACATTTCAGCACCACACAGAACAGTATTATAGCGAAACCACTACAGAGATAATCCTGTGTGTATTTAAACTCTAAGTATTGTAATAAGGCTCTTATTGTGTAATTAAGTTTTGGTTGGAAACTGAAAGGTTAAAATCTTTAAATGCCTGTTGGAAAAATCTTCCAATCAGGATGATTTTCTCTGTGAAGTAGTAGATGCAGCCAAGCTGGTTTCCCACTGGTTGAGACTTCAGGAGCTGGACTAGATAAACTACCTACATGATTAGAAAGTGACAGCATCAGTAATAATAACAGTAACAGTACAGTAAACATGGTGTAATTTGGGAAGGCGTTTCAGAGATTTAGGAAAAATAAATGCAAAGGAGTTTGGGAACTTGGCCTTCTGAGGTCCACAAACTCACCAGCACATATATATGTTTACATATTTGTGACAGTAAGATCAGAGTGAGTCTTCCCAATGTAGGAAATAGTGATTAGTGACAATTACTATTTACAATTGATTAGTGACCAAAATTCATTTTCCCTAAATCTATAAAACCCCATTCATAAAGTTGTATGCTTTTATGTATGAATCTTTAAAAGATAACACTTTTACATGTCTACTCCCGACACTGATCTCCCCCAAATCTGTAAAATCCATTGGCAAGTTCCCAAAACCCGTCTCATGGATTTTCCCTAAATCCATAAAACCCCCTTTTGGAGTGTAACACTCTGACATTTCTGTTCCCAACACTGAGCCTCATCCTCCAACCGTTCTTAAGAAGAAATTCCTTCTTAAAACCCACTTACGCAGTTTTTCATGAAGATTCTGACATTCACCAGTGTTTCTTATTTGGGATGTGTTCTTGGGTAAGAACAGACCCTAAACGCATGGTTTGAGAACACGTCATGAATATGACACAGACTTTTTCTTAGGACCTTTCTCAAGAACACATTTAAGAAGATACTGGAGAATGAGGACCACTGATTTTCCTAAAATCAAAATCTTCCCTAAATTCCCTAAACTGGGAGATGGGAGTCATGTATGATCTCGTGATGAGATGGAATGGAAAGGGCGACTCTACAGATTCAGGAAATGTTTGAACTGTATTTCTGCACTGTTATCAACTTCAATCTAGCAAATCTATACCTGCAAATGTAGATTGACATCAGGTGCATCTTCCACCCATATATCTTATCCTATCTTGTATAATCTGGAATATTATATCAGCTTTATCAGCAACTTATATTACTGTACATTGGAAATGGTGCAATATTGGTCTATATTAATGTATATATTCAGAGTCTAATGTGTGTATTACTATTATTAATACCATTTGTTGTTGTAGTAGTTATTGTATACTGAGCTACTGACAGGACAGGCTCACTGAGCACCAACTGGACATTATACCTCTCTACTGTTTACTATGCACTACCACTTTGTTTATACGTCCATAAATATTACATTTTGCACTGCCACTTGTTTATACACCCAGGCATATACAGCTGTTATCATATGTTATTGTTTACAGTGTTTAGTCACTCTGTTCACTCATTTACTGGACGTGCCATGCACCACTGCACTGTCACCTGCATAATAGTTATGCGATTTTACTTACTTATTCTTGTACTGCGCATTATATATCATGGTTGTTATGGTATATTTTATCATATATCTTTGCTTCTTCTATTTATGCATCTGTATTATAGCGCATGACAATACTTTTGCTCTTGTTTTGCTCTTTACTGTACTTTGTGCTGCTGTAATAGACGACTTTTTTAATATACTTTTTATTTATTTTTGTATTTAAGTACTACAAGGGGGCTACAGACCTAAGATTTTCACTCATCTTCGCAACTGTATAAATGTGACATGACAATAAATGTGATTTGATTTGATTTGGAGCACTATACAGAACACTATTATAGGGACAGACTCCAAAAGTGCACTATACAGCGAATAGAGCAAAATGCAGGACATAATAACTGTGAGTTTAATTTTTTCAGTGTGCCTTTTTAATACTTCATTTTGTTTATGCGTCAGGGTAAGTGCCATTGTTTTATTGGAGGTGAGCGCAGTTTTAATCACGAAGCTGGAGCCGAACACACTGACAGAGAGAAAGCTCTGAAACTGTATCATCTGTTAGCGATCAATGTTGAGCCCTGTGATTCACAGGGCGGTGAGCAGAGCCCGGCGCCCTGTCCTTCATTAACCCACAGTGTGTGAAGAGAGCACTCACACACACTCGAAATACTATACTGGATGGGAGATTTTCCACTGAACTACAGTGCCGTCCATAAGTAACTGAACAGGAGTGCAGTTTTTCTCTGTACTTCAGCCCATTGGATTTGAAATGAAACAATGATGATGTTCAAATGCACAATTTGAGCTTTAATCTGAGGAGATTTACATCTGTACTGAGTGAAGTACACAGATACCATAGATTTTCATACATGAACTCCACTCAGACTAGTTTTATTAGGGCGGTGTCTCGTTTTTGTGATTCTTTTTTATTATTTTCCATTTAGAGAAAACCACAAACACCACCCCCCCACCTCCATTTCAGCACTGACACACACACATGGATAGAGAACATAGAACACATGAAAATTTATATCCAATAAGCTATAGAGCCAGTGCTGTATGGACAGGTTGTGAATAGGGAGCAAATGCTGGATGACTTTGTTTGCTGACGTTAAGCCAGCCAGCCATTATTTCTAGGATCTTTCTGCGATGAGGAACTTAGAGTTATCATTAAGTCAATAAAGTTCAGGGTCCATGCAGAAGTATGTCTCGGTCAGAGACGAGATAGAATCAACAACCTCCTCCCAAAAAGTATAAACTTGTGGGCAGTTCCATATAACGTGCATAAAAGTCCCCAGAGTCTGAACAAGCAAGTTTCTAGTGGGTTGTATTTTCTATAAAACTGGACGTTGTCACTGTTACTAGACAACTAAAAATGGGTGATGTTGTGTAAATGGAAACTTTACAGGAGAAGATGAAAACATTCTGTACTTTCACTGTAAGTTAATGTAAAGAGATTTTATTCCAAACAATTTTGGAGCATTTTTATTGGTCTAATCATGATGAAATTTTCACACAGTATAAAGGGCAGCTGTTGGGCTCAAAGGACAAAGACAAATAAAAACAGAAAAAAGTGGATCATTTTTGGACAGTGGCGATATGGGAATGTAAAGTGAGGCTCTCTACCTGTGGCTATTATAATGATTGCCTCTCTAAACAGCCAGCAGTATTGTGCTTTTCTGACTTTGTTTACTTTCTCTTCTTGCTAATGCTGTCCCAGTGGAGAGAGGATGGACAGGAAGTTCTTCCACTGAAGTTTTCTTCCAAAAACTTCCAAAAAAGCACCCCCCCCCAAACAAAACAAACAACAAAAAAACAACAAATAAACAACAACAAAAAAACAAAAAACAAAACAAAAACACAGCTTGTGTAGGTTCACTGGTGGTTTTGGATGGTAAATAAAATGTCTATATTTGTGTTGTAGTCATGGCGACCCCTGGTTCCTATCACCACCACTGTAAAGACATCTGAACCATTTCACACCAAACCCCTCTGAATCTCTCTGTTTACATCTCAAACACTGAGTTATGCAAAAATGAAAAAGAAAATCTTTTTTGAGGACAGAATTTTCATGTGTTGCAATCACTATGGGGGTCTCTTGGTCTGTAATAAGAAAACACAACAGAATACACACACACACGCACGCACACACACACACACACACGCACGCACGCACACACACACACACAATCCATGCACTGAAAGGTGTGTGTGCAGCACAGCAGGTGTGCAGGTACAGTGAGTATTTGAGCTCAGCAGTAGCTCCTCTCTGGCTGAATACCAGCAGGGTTTGGAGGGGAGTTCTACACTAACATTGACAGAAATCAATCACAGCTCATAACACAACTTCCAACTTTCACAACAAGCCTGAGGAAACTCTCACTGCAAACTCGGCACACCTCTCAGTCTGACATTCAACCAGAGGTGGCAAGGAAGGAGTTCCACTGACTCATTTACTCGTTCTCAGTAAGTCTGTGTTGGCTTTGCGCTTCTGAGCACTTTTAAATGCTAGAACGTTTACTTTTAACTCAACTATATTAGAGAGTACAGAAACCATCACTTCAGAGTAGGACTCATTGTCGAGTCCAAGACAAGTCCAAGACCATAGTCAAGATAGAGTCATAAGTGGGACTGAGTCAGGATAGAGTAAAAATGACAGCAAAATCAAATCAATACAGAGTCCAGCAAGACTGAGCAAGGGTGAGTCAAAATAAGAGTGAGATCAAGTCAAGACTGAGTCCAAATGAGAACAAAACCAAGTCCAAATGAGACTGAGACAGAGTCAAGACTGAGCCAAGACTGAGTCCAAATGAGAGCGAGTCTAAATTAAATAGAGAGTGAGTCAAGACAGAGTCTGAGTAAGTGTCTAAGCAACAAACTCTATTTCTTTCCCAGCATGCTCTAGGACACTATCTACCTCACCCTTTACTGCATGACATCAACCATCTAACCGCAGAGAGAGAGAGAGAGAGAGAGAGAGAGAGAGAGAGAGAGAGAACTGGACAGGGGCAAAGAAAGAAAAAGAAGAGATAGAGCAACAGAGAACTGGACAGAGAAAAATAAATACAAAAACAGAAGGACATATAGAGAGAAAATAAATAAATAAATAGAGAAAGAAAGAAAAAGAAGGAAAGAAAGAAAGAAAGAAAGGAAGAAAGAAAGAAAGAAAAAGAAAAATGCAGAGAGAAGATAGAAAGAGAAAAAGAGAGAGGTCAGAGGAAAAGAAGAAGAGAAAAATACGAAGGGGTGGAGGACAGATAGATAAAAGCTGACAGAGGAAGAGAAAGACAAAACAGCCAAGAGAAAGAAAGAGAG